ATGCTCAACATCACTAATCATTAGAGAAATGCAAATCAAAACTACAATGAGATATCATCTCACACCAGTCAGAATGGCTATCATCAAAAAATCTAGAAACAATAAATGTTGGAGAGGGTGTGGAGAAAAGGGAACCCTCTTACACTGTTGGTGGGAATGTAAATTGATACAGCCACTGTGGAGAACAGTATGGAGGTTCCTTAAAAAACTACAAATAGAACTACCATATGACCCAGCAATCCCACCCCTAGGCATATACCCTGAGAAAACCATAATTCAAAAAGTGTCATGTACATAAATGTTCATTGCAGCTCTATTTACAATAGCCCGGAGATGGAAACAACCTAAGTGCCCATCATCGGATGAATGAATAAAGATGTGGCACATATAAACAATGGATATTACTCAGCCATAAAAAGAAACGAAATTGAGCTATTTGTAATGAGGTGGATAGACCTAGAGTCTGTCATACAGAGTGAAGTCAGAAAGAGAAAGACAAATACCGTATGCTGACACATATATATGGAATTTAAGGAAAAAAATGTCATGAAGAACCTAGGGGTGAAACAGGAATAAAGACACAGACTTACTAGAGAATGGACTTGAGGATATGGGGAGGGGGAAGGGTAAACTGTGACAAAGCGAGAGAGAGGCATGGACATATATACATTACCAAACGTATGGTAGATAGCTAGTGGGAAGCAGCCACATGGCACAGGGAGATCAGCTCGGTGCTTTGTGACCGCCTGGAGGGGTGGGATAGGGAGGGTGGGAGGCAGGGAGATGCAAGCGGAAAGAGATATGGGAACATATGTATATATATAACTGATTCATTTTGTTGTGAAGCTGAAGCTAACATACCATTGTAAAGCAATTATACTCCAATAAAGATGTTAAAAAAAAATTATGCACCCAACATAGGAGCACCTCGATACATAAGGCAAATGCTAACAGCCATAAAACGGGAAATTGACAGTAACACAGTGATAGTAGGGGACTTTAACACCTCACTTACACCAATGGACAGATAATACAGACAGAAAATAAATAAGGAAACACAAGCTTTAAATGACACATCAGACCAGACAGATTTAATTGACATTGATAGGACATTCCACCCGAAAGTGGCAGAATACACTTTCTTCTCAAGAGCACATGGAACATTCTCTAGGATACACATGTTGGGTCACAGATCAAGCCTTGGAAAATTTAAGAAAACTGAAATTGTATCAAGCATCTTTTCTGACCCCGACGCTATGAGATTAGAAATCAACCACAGGAAAGAAAAACCCATAAATACATGGAGACTAAACAGTGTGCTGTTAAATAACCAAGAGATCACTGAAGAAATCAGAGGAATTACAAAAAATACCTGGAAACAAATTACAACGAAAACACAACAACCCAAAACCTATGGGATGCAGCAAAAGCAGTTCTAAGAGGGAAGTTTATAGCAATTCAATCTCACCTCAGGAAACAAGAAAAATCTCAAATAAACAATCTAACCTTACATCTAAAGCAACTTGAGAAAGAGGAACAAAAAACCCCCAAAGTTAGTAGAAGGAAAGAAATCATAAAGATCAGAGCAGAAATAAATTAAATAGAAACAAAGAAAACAGTAGCAAAGGTCCATAAAACTAAAAGTTGGCTCTTTGAGAAAATAAACAAAATTGATAAACCTTTAGCAAGACTCATCAAGAGAAAAGGGGAGAGGACTCAAATCAATACAATTAGACATGAAAAAGGAGAAATTACAACTGACACTGCAGAAATACAAAGGATTATAAGAGACCACTACAAGCAACTATATGACAATAAGATGGACAACCTGGAAGAAATGGACAAATTCTTGGAAAGTTACAACTTTCCAAGACTGCACCAGGAAGAATTAGAAAATATAAACAGACAAATCCCTAGTAATAAAATTGAAACTATAATTAAAAATCTTCCAACAAACAAAAGTCCAGGACCAAATGGCTTCACAGGTGAATTCTATCAAACATTTAGAGAAGACGTAACACCTATCCTTCTCAAACTCTTCTAAAAAATTGTAGCGGGAGGAGTACTCTCAAACTCGTTCTACGAGGTCACCATCACCCTGATACCAAAACCAGACAAAAATATCACAAAAAAAGAAAATTACAGACCAATATCACTGATGAACATAGACGCAAAAATCCTCAACAAAATACTAGCAAACTGAATCCAGCAAAACATTAAAAGGATCATATACCATGATCAGGTGGGATTTATCCCAGGGATGTAAGGATTTTCAATATATGCAAATCAATCGATGTGATACACCACAGTAACAAATTAAAGAATAAAAACCATATGATCATCTCAACAGATGCAGAAAAAGCTTTTGAGAAAATTCAACACCCATTTATGATAAAAACTCTCCAGAAAGTGGACAAAGAGGGAACCTACCTCAACATAATAAAGGCCATATTCGAAAAACCCACAGCAAACATCATTCTCAATGGTGAAAAACTGAAAGCATTTCCTCTAAGATCAGGAACAAGACAAAGATGTCCACTCTCACCACTATTATTCAACATAGTTCTGGAAGTCCTAGCCATGGCAATCAGAGAAGAAAAGGAAATAAAAGGAATCCAGATTGGAAAAGAAGTAAAACTGTCACTGTTTGCAGATGATATGATACTATACATAGAAAACCCTAAAGATGCCACCAGAAAACTACTAGAGCTAATCAATGAATTTAGTAAAGTTGAGGGATAACCAAGTTAATGCACAGAAATCTTTTGTATTCCTATAGACTACCAACGAAAGATCAGAAAGAGAAATTAAGGAAACAATCCTATTTACGATTGCAACAAAAAGAATAAAATACCTAGGAATAAACCTACCTAAGGAGGCAAAAGACCTGTACTCAGAAAACTATAAAACACTGATGAAAGAAATCAAAGATGACACAAACAGATGGAGAGGTATACCATGTTCTTGGATTGGAAGAATCAATACTGTGCAAATGACTATACTATACTATACTACACTATACTATACTATACTATACTATACTATAGCATTTTTCACAGAATTAGAACAAAAAATTTTACAATTTGTATGGAAACACAAAAGATCCCGAATAGCCAAAGCAATTTTGAGAAAGAAAAACAGAGATGGAAGAATCAGGCTTCCTGTCTTCAGACTATACTACAAAGCTACAGTAATCAATACAGTACAGTATTGGCACAGAAGCAGAAATATAGATCAACGGTACAGGATAGAAAGCCCAGAGATAAAAGCAAACACCTATGGTAACTTAATCTATGACAAAGGAGGCAAGGACATACAATGCAGAAAGGACAGCTTCTTCAATAAGTGGTGCTGGGAAAACAGGAAGAATGAAATTAGAACACTGTCTAGCACCATACACAAAAATAAACTCAAAATGGATTAAAGACCTAAATGTAAGACTGGTCACTACAAAACTCTTAGGGGAAAACACAGGAAGAACACTCCATGACATAAATCATAGCAAGATCTTTTTAAATCCACCTCCTAGAGTAATGAAAATAAAAACAAAAGTAAGCAAATGGGACCTAATTAAACTTCAAAGCTTTTGCACAGCAAAGGAAACCATAAACAAGACGGAAAGACAACCCTCAGAATGGGAGAAAATATTTGCAAACGAAGCAACGGACAAAGGATTAATCTCCAAAATATACAAATAGCTCATGCAGTTCAATATCAAAAAACAACCCAATCAAAAAATGGAAGGATGACCTAAATATACATTTCTCCAAAGAAGACATACAGATGGCCAAGAGCCACATGAAAAGATGCTCAACATCACTAATTAGTAGAGAAATGCAAATCAAAACTACAGTGAGGTATCACCTCACACAGGTCAGAATGGCCATCATCAAAATATCTACCAAAAAAAAAAAAAAAATCTACAAACAGTAAATGCTGGAGACGGTGTGGAGAAAAGGGAACCCTCTTGCACTGTTGGTGGGAATGTAACTGATAACAGCCACTATGGAGAACAGTATGGAGGTTCCTTTAAAAACTAAAAATAGAACTACCATATGACCCAGCAATCCCACAGCTGGGCATATACTCTGAGAAAACCATAATTCAAAAAGTCACATGTATCCCAGTGTTCACTGCAGCACTATTTACAATAGCCAGGACATGGAAACAACTTAAATTTCCATTGAAAAATGAATGGATAAAGAAGATGTGGTACATATATTTAATGGAATATTACTCAGCCATAAAAAGGAACGAAACTGGGTCATTTGTAGAGATGTGTATGGACCTAGAGTTTGTCATACAGAGTGAAGTAAGTCAGAAAGAGCAAAACAAATATCATATATTAATGCATGTATGTGGAATCTAGGAAAATGGTACAGATGAACCTAGTTCGAGGGCAGGAATAGAGATGTAGACGTAGAGAATGGACATTGGACACAGGGAGGGAAAGCGAGGGTGGGATGAACTGGGAGACTAGGTTTGACATAAATACACTACCAGGTGTAAAATATTGGGTTGGGCCAACCTAATAGATAGCTAGTGAGAACCTCCAGTATAGCACAGGGAGCTCAACTCCATGCTCTGTGATGACCTAGATCGGTTGGATGGGGGGAAGTGGGTGGGAGGGAGGTCAAAGAGGGAGGGGATATATGTATACATATAGCTGATTCTCTTCATTGTACAGCAGAAACTAACACAACATTGTAAAGCAATTATACTCCAAAAAAAGAAGATGGGCAACAAAGAAAGTCTTATTCAGATTACTGAAACATTCAAATAGTGTAATTTATCAAAGTGAAAATAATGCTTTTTCCTTTAACCATGAAAATATCAACCTGCCCCTAAGAATAAAAATCTGTGGTAGAACAATAAGGCAGCATCTTAGTAAACAAGTAAAATAATATATGAAGTTTAGGAAACTGTAATTCCCCTGTTGCTTGTGGTGGTTATGCCACATGATCTTTTAAAGGCAAAAGAAAAAATAAATATTCCTTTACCTTGTAAGATGGCAGGAAACACAAAATTCCTTGGCTCACAGTCTGGCACACAGATAACACAAGTGCTCCCACTTCATCCTGGAACTCAAATGTTTCCGTGTGCTGGAAGGTAGCACAGAGATTGCGACCCTTGGGGCCTGACCCAATGGTACCAACCCAAACCTAGAATATAAATATGTCAGTATTAGAGTTATGATTAAATAAGGCAGCCAAATTAGCATTTAATTTGGGAGCCTTAATTACATGTATGTCAAAAAAAGATCAAGCAATGAGTTTAGAGAAAATTTACTTTTAAATTGTTGGGGGTTTTTCCTATTACCTTTAATTAATTATATATATATTTAATTTATGAAAGCTTTACTTTAGGCAGACCACTGAATTCTCTTAGGATGAAAGAAAAACAGGTTATTATTTATGTATTTCCTCAACAGCTTTACAAAATTAAGCAGGTAACAACATCTTGTTAGATGATAGGAACAAATGAAATGAATAAATCAGAAATGAATCCAAAATAAGAGATGAGGGCTGGTACAATCTGCTATAGTTAAGTCTCTAAGATTCAATTATGACAGGAACTACTGTTTCACAAATTCCCTGATGCTCAAAGATCTATAGTCAGAAAATCAGACCCACCAAATTTTACAGTTATGTGCAATTCCTCTACATTCACATAGGTCTAGCCTTAGTATAGTTAGTTTGACTAAGAGAAAGTACAAATTTTATTAGTATTCTAAAGACAATATAAACACTTCAGATTGTTGAAAAATGTAATAGTCTTATATTTGCAAATGATATACAAGATTGAGGTACATTTTGCAAGATGACATCTGATGGATACCAGTTTAATCAACTTTAAACCAAATGATCAACTAGTAGTAAGACAAACTGATAGTATGTCTTTCTTGATATGATACAATGGGAAGCAACAACATCACTTACATAGTATTCTTACCAAACACTTTAACTTGAATCTTATCATGAGAAAACAATCAGAAAATTCCAGATTATAAAATATTCCTAAGGACAACTGGTGACTTGAATTCTTTAAAAATGTCATGAAAGACAGAAAAAAAGGGCAAGGAAACTATTTTAAGTACTAAAGAGACATGAACTGGTGCAGCCACTATGGAAAACTGTATGGAGGTTCCTCAAAAAACTAAAAATAGAACTACCATATGATCCAGCAATTCCAATTCTGGGAGTATATCTGAAGAAAACAAAAACACTAATTTGAAAAGATACATGTACCCCAATATTCATAGTAGTGTTACTTCCAATAGCTAAAGATATGGAAGCAACCTAAATGTCCATCACAGATGAATAAAGAAGATGTGGTATACACACACACACACACACACACACACAATGGAACAGTACTCAGCCATAAAAAAGAATGAAATCTTGCCATTTGCAACAACATGGATGGACCTGGAGGGTATTAGGCTAAGTGAAATAAGTCAGACAGAGAAAGACAAACACTGTATGTTACCACTTAACATGTGGAATCTAAAAAATACAACACAAATGAATATAACAAAACAGAAAAGAATCCCAAATAGAACAAACTAGTGGTTACTAGTGGGGGGAAGGGCAAGATAGGGGTAGGGAATTAAGAGGTACAAACTACTATGTATAAAATAAATAAGCTACAAGGATATATTGTACTGCATAGGGATAATAGCCAATATTTTATAACTTTAAATGAAGTATAAACTTTAAATGGAGTTTTTATAATCTATAAAAACTTTGAATCACTATGTTGTACACCTGAAACTAATACTGTAAATCAACTATACTTCAGTTTAAAATAAGAAAACAGAAAAAAACTAAAGAGACTTGAAAACCAAATGCAATATATAATACTTGACTGGATCCTGAATCAAGAATAAGAAAAATAAACAGGTATAAAAGACACAATGGGAGCATTCGGTGCCCTGAGAATGAAGCTACAAGAGTGGACCTTTCTTGGGATAACCAAATCTACGCCAAGAGAACAGGCTAGAGAGAGGCAGTTCTGTGGTGTTCTTGGTTACACATTTATGGAGTTTCTGAACGGCAGTGGAGACTACTGCCAGGCACAGCACAACCTCTATGCCGACAAGTGAACTGTAGAAATTCATTACTACTCCACCAAGAAGCCCCCATAAGAGTGGCTAACCTGGACACAGAAGTGTTGAATGGAAATCCACAGAGCATTTTTTACAAGAGTTCTGACCTGGATGGGGTAAACCTCAGTGCACTCCTTTTCTATTGCCTCAGTATTACTGGATTGAAGAATTGCTGCTTCTTGTCAGGAGGTTCATTTCATTTCCCATTACTCCCAACTTCATACTCGAAAGCACTGAGAATTTCAAGTGGAGTATATTGAAGCAGACTCAGTTTATTTGCATCATTTCTGTATTCAATTTTTAAAATTCTTTCATAACCCTATTGACTGTTTTTTAACTAAATTAACATGGCTCGAATGAACTGCCCAGCTCCTGTGGAAGTCACTTAAAAGAACATGAGATTTCTCATTACACACAATCCAACTAATGCAACCTTAAACAAATTTATAGAGGAACTTAAGAAGTATGGTTACCACAATAGTAAGAGTATGTGAAGCAACTTATGACACTACTCTTGTGGAGAAAGAAGGCATCCATGTTCTCGACTGGCCTTTTGATGATGGTGTACCACCATCTAACCAGATGGTTGATGACTGGTTAAGTCTTGTGAAAATTAAGTTTCATGAAGACCCTGGTTGTTGTACTGCCTTTCACTGTGTTGCAGGCCTTGGGAGAGGTCCATTGCTTGTTGTCCTAGCATTAATTGAAGGTGGAATGAAATATGAAGATGCAGTACAGCTCATAAGACAAAAGCGGCATGGAGCTTTTAACAGCAAGCAACTTTTGTATTTGGAGAAGTATCGTCCTAAAATGTGGCTGCACTTCAAAGACTCCAATGGTCATAGAAACAACTGTTGCATGCAATAAAACTGGGGTGCCTGATGCCATTGCTTAGAAGTGGAACCTAGACAGACAGAATCTGTCGTACATGTTAGCCAGCACGTTGGCTTGGTAAAGTCTGATGAAACTTCCATAGGAGTGTCGAAAAGCAGTTTTACCAGGCCACAAGCCTGGCAGAACTACAACCTCTATGTTTGGGTTATGATCAACCTACTTAGCCACTTAGCAAAGGATTCTTTCTGTTCAGCATTTAAAATGTGCTTATCATTTGTACCAAATGACCTTTCCTGAAATCATGCAGTACTGAGTCATGTCTTTAAATCTATTTCCATGCCAGAATCTTATCAATATATAAGAAATTTAGAAAGACTAGGTGCCAAAATACCCAGCACAATTCTTGTATTATTTTTAGTATGATACAGAACTAAAATCCCAGGAACTATGAAAACTCTGGACCTTATGTGGTTTATTCCTTCCAGCATTTCCAACGTAGAAAGTAGGGCCTATGAGGTTATTTGCTCACGATATGTTTACATCTTCTACATTCATACCAGTATACATGAGATTTGCTCTTTTTTTTTAATTAACCAAGTCTTACAGTGATTATTTAATGTCTTTCTATAAAACTCATTTTGTGCTGTTACAGAAAATCTACATTGTACGGAAGCACATGTCTTTAATGTCTCCAGACAAAAAAGCCTTACAGCTAATTTTAATGTTTGCACTTTGGGGTGTAACTTACAGGGAGGGCCTGAAAAAAGAATGGGAGGGGGCTATTAAGTATTTTTAGTAAAATGTTGCCTTTGCCTTGTGAAGAACATGTAGAATATGTACTTTAATTTATAAATATGTTTTTAAAAGGTAGAAATACTTTGTTATTGTAGCTAAAACAATTCTTAATCATAAAATTTCTGAAATTCTTGTAATTTTTTTTCAAACTTATCTGAAGTTGTTTACCAACTTATTTTTGTTTGAAGTGTGATTCCCAACCTCTCTCGCCAAAAAAAAAGTGGGTTTCTGCTAATGAATTGAGCAGACATTTAATGTTTTATGTCTTTTGAGCTGTGTAACTTAATATGTGGATACTTGACAATTTGTTTTATTATGTAATAGATAAAATGGTGATGAGTATTAACGTTAGCTCAACCATATATTTATACTGTCCCGGAACATGTGGTTATAGTTCTGTGGGAGAAATAATTTGTCAGTGTTCACCAGCTTGTAAAAATCTAGTGTGAGAGCTTAAACATTAAATAAATGGTGAAATGCATTTATCATCAAAAAAAAAAAAGACACACTGGGAATATCTGGAAAAATATAGATTCTACTGTATCAATATTAAATTGCTTGGATATGATCATGATACTGTGGTTATGCAAGATTATGTACTTGTTCTTAGGAGAAACATGCTAAACTAATTAAGGGCAAGGTGTCACTATGTCTACAAATTACTTTCTAATACCATAATCAAAATTAATGCAATCATCAACATTTTGCAATATTACTCTTCTCTTCCTTTGTCTCATATATATACAGATGCAAAATGTTAAAAACTGATGAATCTAGGTTAAGGGTATAAAGATATTCACTATATTAATACTATTTTTTCCATTTTTCAAGTTATAATTTTTTAAATAAAAGTTTGGGGTGATCAAGGAATGAATGACCAAACAAAATGTCACACACACACACACACACACACACACACACACACACACACAACTGGAATATTACTCAGCCTTAAAAAGGAAATTCTGATTCACGTTACAAGGATGAACCTTGAAGACACCAGGCTAAGCAAAATAAACTAATCACAAAAATCTTGTGATTCCACTTACATGAGGTATTTAGAATAGTCAAATTCATAAAAACAAAAAGTGGAATGGTGGTTACCAGGGGCTGAGGAGGGGGGAATGGAGAATTGTTGTTTAAGAACAGAATTTCAGTGTTGCTAGATGAAAAAGCTCTAGAGATTGGTTACATACAACAGTGTGAATATACTTAACAAAACTGAGCTATACCCTTAAAAATGGTTAAGATGGCAAATTTTATGGCATGTTTTTACCACAATTAAAATAAAAAACTTTTTAAAAGTTGGGGGAAATATAACAGAATCCAGCTGAACTAGCATTATTATTATTGTTAATTATTATTTAGCGACATTACAGGTTAAACGGGCTTTTGTGCACTAAGACTGAGAACACAGAACCTATAATAACATTCTTTTGAAAAAATATATGCTGAATTTACTAATAGCTACCCATATTTACTTGAACCTCTAACCTCTAAAATGTGCAACATATATTTTTCCTTTGCTACTGCTTATCGCAATGTTCTATACAGGAGCATTCTGGATTTTGGAAAGCACAATCCTTGGTTATATAGGAGTTTAGCATAAGGCTCTCACCTACTAAATGCCAGTAATTTCCAAAAAATACTTCTTGGTTGAAAACTATAGCTCTTTATAAAGAACTAGAATTGTATTAGGCCCACAGGTGGTATTAAGCATGTAGCTAACCACTTTAAATTACTTCGTAAAAAGAAATAGAAGGCAGACTGACAAATGACAATTCAAACATTCTTAGGAAAATTAAAGTAACATTTACATGGTATTGTTATAAAAAATTAAAATCTGGGCTTTCCTGGTGGCGCAGTAGTTAAGAATCTGCCTGCCAATGCAAGGGACACAGGTTCGAGCCCGGGCCCAGGAAGATCCCACATGCCACAGAGCAACTAAGCCCGTGCGCCACAACTACTGAGCCTGTGCTCTAGAGCCCACAAGCCACAGCTGCTGAAGCCTGCGCGCCTAGAGCCCATGCTCCGCAACAAGGGAAGCCACGACAATGAGAAGCCTGTGCACCTCAATGGAGAAGCCCCCGCTCACCGCAACTAGAGGAGCCCACAGATAGCAACAACGACCCAACACAGCCAAAAATAAAAACAAACAAACGAATAAATAAATAAAAAATAAAATTAAAATCTTAAGTCACAGGACTCATAAGAATACTTTTAATTCATTTCAGATATTCAAACGTGCTGAACACTTGCTAACTAATACCAGGTATTAATTTAGGTGCAGTGGAAAGATGAGGATGTAAAAATTAGAATAAGGATATACCACAGTCTAATGGAAAAGAAAAACACAAATAATTAAACAATTAGGAACTACAGTAAAAAAAAAAAAAGTTGAATTTTTGTTTTTCATTTTCATTAAAAAACTTAAAACTTATTTAAATAAGGAAATTGCAATACAGTCTTTGCCTTGAAAGTGTATATTTTTACTCACTGGGTTGAAGGAATGCTATTTATTGGTATTTCCTTTTGTTGACACTACCAAGTAGCTGACAAATTTTCCTTTATTCTAAAACTGAAACGTTGACTTTCCTATCAGGATTTGTCTGCCAGTACTTCAGTTACCTTTTAATTTGTTTATAAATTATACTGAGGTAAAAAGACTAAGAGCCTTCAAAACAACAACAACAACAAAAACCTAACCTGTGAGTTATTAATGACATGATTAGCCTCCAGTTGGACAGTAAATGTAACACCAAGTTCTGATGAAAAGGATGTCATTGGTGATAATGTCCCAGATGTCAAAATAATCGTCCAAACCTTGCCATTAATATCCGAAAAGGCCTAAAAGGAAACATTAGATACATAAAATCATCTTTAAAAGTCAAGCACATTTATTTAATTGTTGGTATTGAGCAAGAAGACAGAATTCTCATTTACAGCATGATAAGCTTACCACAGCTGGATTTAAGCACCAAAAATTCAGCACATGAACTGCTGTTTTCTGTCGTAAACGTTTCTTATTTTTTGGTAGAACCAAGAACCCATTTTTATCTGAAGTATCAGTCTGATTTATCCAAGAGTAAGTCTGTTGAATAGCGACTTTATAATCATCTGCAAATCTAAATAAAAATAAAATGGTAATTAAATGGGAAAATTTTAGATAACATTGTCCCCCACCAACAACCCACACCACTAAAATTCAGTAATCCTGATAGAAATACGGCATTAAACCTTAGAGTCAGTCCCCCCTTACAGAGGTTAGATATCACTTAAATATCACCCTTTATCACTTCCCATCCCTATGTTAAAACATTACATAAATCATGGCAGAGCCAGAATTAAAATGCAAGCCTCCTAACTCCTAGATCAGAGCTCTTTGCATTCTATGTTACATCATTAGTTATAAAATAGTTAACAGTATTATTGTTAAAGAAACTAAAAAGTGGGTTAAACTTTTTTATTGCATGAGAAAATAGAAAGACAATTTTTACTGAAATTTTAGGAAACTAATTTTTAAGTTCCTTTAAAATGTGGATCTCAGTCTTCATCTATTTTTAATGAAAGTACTAAACCAGATGATCTCCATGATCCCATCCAGCTTATAATTTCTCTCAATAAGAGGCTATAAACACCTAAGCTTAAACAGAATAAAATTTGGTATTCTCTACCATGTCCTCACAGTAATACTGACTGTTAATTCTACCCTTAGAGAGATCAGAATTCAAAGTTCAAGTCAGGAACCCTGCAATATGTGGAGGGAATTTTATAAAAATACTGAGAGCTAAAAACTATAAAACTCTTAGAAGAAAACATTGGGGAAAATCTTCATGACATCGTATTTGGCTATGTTCAATGGATCCCAAAAGCACAAGCAATAAAAGGAAAAAAATCGATAAACTGGACTGCATCAAAATTTCAAGACTTGTGCATCGAAGAATATTATCAAGAGAGTGAAAAGAGAACCCACAGAATGGGAGAAAATATTTGTAAAGCAAATATCTGATAAAGGATTAACATGCAGAATAACTCCTACAACTCAACAAAAACCCCATTTAAAAATGGACAAAGGACTTGAGTAGACACCTCTTCAATGAAGATATAGAAATGGACAATAAGCACATGAAAAGATGCTCAACATCTCTAGTCATTAGGGAAGTGTAAATCAAAACCATAAGGAGATAAAGCAGAAACTAACACACCATTGTAAAGCAATTATACCCCAATAAAGATGTTAGAAAAAAAAAAACCATAAGGAGATACCACTTTATACCCATTAGGATGGCTATGATCCAAAAAACAAAAAATAACAAGTATTGACAAGGATGCAGAGAAACTGGGAACTCTTGTGCATAACTATGTGAATCTAGAATGTGCAGCTGCTATGACAAATAGCACACTGGCTCCTCAAAAATTTAAATACAGAATTACCATATAATCCTGCAATTCTACTGCTAGGTATGTACCCAGAAAAACTGAAAGCAGGCACTCAAACAGATACTAGTACACCAATGTTCACTGCACCATGATTCACAATACGCAAAAGCTAGAAACAATACAAATGTCTATCAATGTAAGAATGGATAAACAAAATGTGGTATATATACACATGGAATATTATTCAGCCATAAAAAGGAATGACATATGTTACAACATGGATTAACCTTGAAAACATTAGATTGTATGATTCCACTTATATGAGACACCTAGAAAGGGCAAATCCATAGAGATGAAAGTAGGATAGAGGTTACCAAAGGCTGTGGTGAGTGGGAAATGGAAGATACTGTTTCATGGGTATAGAGTTCCTGTTTGGGATGATGAAAAAGTTCTAGAAATTGACAGTGGTGGTAGCTGTACAACAATGTGAACATACTTAATGCTATTAAAATGTACACTTAAAAATGGTAAATTTGGGCTTCCCTGGTGGTGCAGTGGTTGAGAGTCCGCCTGCCGATGCAGGGGACACAGGTTCGTGCCCCAGTCCAGGGAGATCCCACATGCCGTGGAGCAGCTGGGCCCGTGAGCCACAGCCGCTGAGCCTGCGCGTCCGGAGCCTGTGCTCCGCAACGGGAGAGGCCACAACAGTAGAGGCCCGTGCCCCGCAAAAAAAAAAAAAAAAAAGGTAAATTTTATATTGTGTATATTTTACCAAAAAAAAAAAACACTTAAAAAAATACTGGAACCAGGTAGTACTATAACTTAAGGAGTAGTGTGTGGGGAGTTGACTGCTTTTCATTTCCCACATTTCATTAAATAGAGGATTTACACAATAAGAGAGACTTTCTGACACTGGAAGAAACATCTAGATTATACTTAAAAGAAAACTTAAATTTAGTCTTAGAGGACTTTAATGCTGAATTAATTAGTTGTATTTATTAACTGGTTTCAATGCTCATTTTCATTAATAAAAACTAACATCAATTGACTGAGTCTGTGCCAGTAAGTAAGAGCAATATTTATACCACTTGTTTATCACTATTACATGTACTCATATAAAATTAGTAGGTATTAAACACATGGTAGCACCCAATAAGGCTAATATTTTTAAGAGGAAGAATACAGACCAGATTATCTTCACTTACCTGCTATTTTGCCTAAAAAGATAGTCAAGCACCATAAAAAGTCCTTTGAGCATTATTTGAGTTGAAGCACTGATAATAGGTACTTCTCTTGCCTCCTCTTTACCATGAACTGATGAGACTTTTTCTTCTTTTTGAAGGATAGCAGAAAAATGTCCCTATAAGGAATTACCATATTAAGTGTACCGGGGCGGGGGGGAGGG